AAATGGATCAAAGATCTCAACATAAATCCAGCTACACTGAACCTATTATCTTGAACTTTTTCTTTAAAAAAATTGACAATACTAGTGCTCTAATTAAAGCCTTATTTAAAATCCAAGTTTGTTAATGATAGAGATTAAAAAAGAGGGTCTATATCAAAATTAAAACATCAGAACCCCAATTAGAAAAATAAGTAACTTATTCTACAAGGAAGAATAATGAGCTTTTCATTTTTTATTCGCTGAGAGCAATGCATGTCATTGCAGGATATTACAAGCAGAATAGCACAATGAAAGCACAATCATTATTACAGGGAAAGGAAACAAGAATAATTCAGAACAACAATGTATAAAAAGTCTGTAACCTATACATGTTCAGGAGACTTGCAGAAGGAGAGGAAGGGAGGGATGGGCAAGAGAGACCCTGGTAGTATATGTCATAGTTGGATCTCCCACAATCAGGTTTTCCTTAATTAAAACTTAAAGATGTACTCGGTTTTATAGATACATATCAATTGGACTTAGTAGGGAACACCAAAGATAATTCTAGAACTTGGCAACTGTGAGACATTTAGAAAATAATCCAGGCATACACTTTTATTAATAGAAAGATGAATATCTGCAGAAGACTGAGACAGGACAGAATCTCAAATAAGGGCTGCCGTTGTCAATTTGTCTAAACTTTTTGATCAGGTGATTGTTTATTATAAAGGAGAGAAAACACCACTTGGTGACTAAAGGATTGTTGTGAACCAAGTGTGGCAGTACACACCTGTGATCCCAGAACTTGGGAGACAAACACAAGAAGATATTAAGTTTATGACCAGTCTAGACTAGTTGGAGGGACCCTGTTTCCAGATAAAACAAGAGAAACAAAATAGTAGGTTATAAATAAGATAAAATACAAATAGTCTATGAGCAGAGAATAAATGGTGACACTGTGCTCACTACTTTTGGTTGAGCACTGTGTCAATTAAGTAGCCATTGGAAAGCCTGTGTGCATCCTCCTGTGGTTTCCTCCTTTAACAGATGCCTTTGCACACAACTGAAGTGCAAATTTCTAAGGAGGGAGTTTTCCTCCTGGTGATGTTTTGTTCACAGAGGGGTGCCAGTTGGTTCAGTCCCTGACCTCTTTGCTCATTACCTGAGATGAAAGGACACGGTTTATGTTGATCAGGCTTGACTTGGTTTACACCTCCAGAAAGGATCCAAACCCCAAACAGCTTGATCCTTGCTGATGGCCTGATTCTAGACCCTCTAAATAGGAACAGCTCTAAGACTAGATTCGACATGATAAATCTTGCTGGATTCTAGGGTTCAGTCATAGATACTCGGCAGGCCTGATAACTTGGGCCTTTTAGTCATAAAGAAACACTTGATAATTTATCTGCCTCTTTTCCCCCCTCAGAATATGAATAGTGAAAAGGGCTCTGCAAATCCAATGCCTTTTGAGAGCTGCAAAGCTTATGTAAGAATTCATTACAAACAGCTTACATTGTCACAAAAGCCTCTAATGTATTATTTTTGTTCTATAATGAGAAAAGTTGCTATAAAGATCTAGTCACATTTCCTATTTTTAACCTTTTGTACTTATAAACTAATCAGTGGGTTTTTACAAGACACTCGATGCACTCCAGACTCTATCATGGCTGATTCATAACAACCCCAGCTCTTCTACGAACAGGGAAGTGGGACTTTGGAAGAGCACACTCTTAAGTGCTGTAGACATCTGTGGATTCTTAGCTCCAGCAGGGCATAAAACTTGCCTGTGTTGACTGTTCTCAAACCTGGATGTGAATATGGAGGAGTCTAAGACACTGTGATCACAGCCAACTCTATGTCAATTGTAAGAGGAAACATCACATTTGAATATATCAAATAGATCGAAAATATATTGTTTTTAACTGCAGTAGCTGATGTCTGCCTCTCAAGAATAAGTTGCTACACTGTCTTAAAAAACAAAAACAAAAACAAAAAATAGTAGCTAAAAAGAAAAAAAAAAACAGTAGCAAATATGCTATTAGAGTAGCAACACATTCAACTCCTGTCCAAAACAAAGCAAACAGGCTAGCTTTGAATAAAACTGGTAACAGACTCACACATGGAAAATATTTCCTTGGAGATACTTCTTTACCTTGGAAAGCTGAAAACTAGCTGTGCCACTGACACAGAAAGTCAGCACTGGGCCTAGAATCTCTGCTTACAATGGCTTTTGAATTCTTTAAGCTGCTCAGGGTAGACTCAGCCAGTACTGGAATGCACACTAGAATATGATTCATTGGTTTCCTGTCAGTCTGGAGGTGTCAGCAGGCTGTAAATCATGACCCACCTCCAAGGATGGAGACTTGCACCTGCAAGCCAATTCAGTCATCCAATGCATTTTCTGCTCTTCAAAAGGCTACCTTGGTTTAGTATCAGTGATAACATCTATACCTCTTCACATGGCCATTCTTTCTATAAGGTTTTCACAAATTAATGTTTCTTTTTCTTTCCAAGAACAAGGTTTTAGAACTTTGAGGACAAGGGGGTTTTCTCTCAACTCCAATAGGGGTCCAACTGGAGTCACCAAGGAAGCTGAATTCAGTAAAGCCAAGTCCTGATTCCTGCAGAGCCCAGAAATATAGTATAAATATTCAGAGGCTGGACACTTACTCTCATCTCATTAAAAAGTAACAAGTTAGGGAGTCTTGGGATGGGGGACTGTGTGGGGAGAATATAGGAATTGGTCTTTCACTTTTCTGGCACAGGATGTGGTGTTTGGGATTAAACTAACTGAAATCATTATACCACTAAACTCATTCCTGATCTAGAAAATATATTCAAACTATTTAGTAGACTGCACTTTCCAACAAAAGACATCTGTGTTCCATTGTAGTAGGGTCAGGGAACAAATTTTATAGACTAATGAAAGTCCCTCTTTCTAAGTTATGTAACAGATGGTTTATAGAATCTTGCCAGATAATTTTGCCCCATTTTCCCTATTTTAAGGCAATGTAAGCTTAGATTTATATGTGGAAAATGCTCCAGCCATGGGAAAGGACACATAAACTCCTTGCAGTCCTTGCAGGTCCTCCAAGTGAATCAATTAGTGATTTTAACACATGACCACTTTTCTTTTAAGTAACATTTCATTAGACCATGACTGCAATAGAAGATTAAAGAAAATGTTCTCAAAATATTTCCTTTGAATAGTGTAAACTTGTCCTGGATCAAGGAATAGCAAAACCTGAAGATATGAGATAATGCCGTATGCTGCTGACAACAAACCTTGCCACAGAACTACCATCTCAGAAGCCATCATTCTTATCATGAATAAAACTGGAATCCTGTAATCTGAAAAGATGTTGAAATTGTAGTCATTTATTTATTTATTTTGTAGAAATTAATACTAAAATAATGGTCAAAGGAATCTTTTGAGTTTATTGAGTTGCTTTGGCCAATGTCATATTCTTGCTTTCAGAAATGTATTATTATTATTATTATTTGGAATACTAGCAGAGAAATTTTGCCTTGGCAACAATGACAGCTCTGTTTAGTTAAAAAACCAAAGAAATTTTGCCATGAGAATGAAAGTATGGTCAGCATCACAGAGCCCAGATTGGTTCCAGTTCTTGAAGAAGTTCTGCTGAATGTCTCCAGACAGAAAAATAGAGCATAGGCTCAGAAATACTCTCAGAATCATTGATCAAGTGATGTTGGTGCTCTTAGGAGCATGCATGTGAAATCTGGAGGTACCATTTATTGTATAATATAAGAAGGCATCCCATTTCAAAAGTCTGAACAAAACAGAAAACTCAAGAGACTTCAAGAACTTTGGCAAGATCAAACTCATCTTTATGGGAGTAGATGAATGTGATTTCTGAGTGTGCTCTGAAAAACCACTCCTAGTTTGAGCTGAAACTGCTCAAATGTGTTAATCTGTGTGATCTCCAGCAATTGGCATAGGGGAGGAAAGAGTGACTTTAAGTGTCTAAATCTAGACCTAAACCGGAAGCAGAGTTTATATGTGAAATGAGACTATGTGTGTGTGTGTGTGTGTGTGTGTGTGTGTGTGTGTGTGTGTGTGTGTATGTGTGTTGGGGGGGTATCTTTCCTTCATTTCCAGTAAAACCAAATACATAGCTCAGATGTGTTCAGAAAGAAACAAATAGACATTTTTACCTGAATAACACTTTATCTGACTGACCTCCATTGAATGGTTTAACTAAAATAACTGCAAGAGGAATGCACTACCCCATTTTCTTTTGAATTGAAACATGTGCAGTGCTTCCCAAGACCCACCCAGCTGAAGGAGACAGAAATACAATCTACAATGCTGCAATGCTGAGGTGATCTTAATGTCGACTCTGCCATGAGATACTGACTTCCATGGTGTACTTTCTGAAATAAATTCAGCCTTTTTCTTAAATCACATGGTCATAAAATGTGGGTATGTACAGAATGATACAGAATAACCATTGCCTAAAATATCTATACTGAGATTTAGGTGTAGCTCAGCACTTATTATTTGCTCAACATGCCAAAACCCTGGGAAGGGTCCCCAGTACCATGTTCTCCTCAAGTGGGATGTGCATGCCTAGGATCCTAGCACTGGGAAACTGGAGGTGGGACACCAAGGTCATTCTCCATTATACAAAGAGTGTGAAGCTAGCCTGGCCTACAGGGGACCCTACAGGGTTAAATGACTGACTAATTAATTGTAGTGAGGGGGAAACTCTTCATAAGACATTTTACATTGAAATCAAAGCTCTTCATGTGACATTTTACAATGTAATTGAGAAAAAATATTTTCTTTGTTAACCAAGGTCTGCACTAGTTTTACATGCCTATGTCAAAGGTAATTGATGTCAGATCTAAAAGCTGGTAGCCAAGCTTCACCTGTGGTGTCATAGCCATAACTGGAAATGTGCTTTCTGAATTAAAGTAGTCATGTAATGAAAAATAGTTATGAAATAAAACTTTAAAAGCAGGAAAATAACTATCGGCTAGATGAGAGACGTAACAACCCAGCTACTGTGTGAAGGCAGTCTTCTTGTGGTTACTATCAATTATCAAAACTTGATCATCTAATGACTCCATTTGTACTGTTAAACACAAGGTAGAATCTGGCACTTTACTCATATTTTATCCATATGATTATATCACACAGTATTTTCTTAATAGAACTTCTAGACTCTCTAGGTTCCTTCTAGTTGAGTATTTCTGAGGTAGCTGTGGATTGATTATGCTTTTTCTTAGTGTCAGTTGCTTCTAGGGGTGAATGCTGTCTCTATTCCTCTCCTACAGCTTGAGCAGAAAGTCCAAAGCTAGTGTGGAAGGTTTGTCTCTGCACCTTTGTCCTACTTCCACTTCCACCCAATTCAAGGATTCAGCAGCACTGTGCCTGGAAGGTAGATCCCTGAGTGTCACCAAAAGCCTTTAAAGAGTTATCTGGAAGTGATGTGGGGCTAAGGAAGTCTTTAAATATCTCATTGTTTTTATTCCTTGTTGGGTAACACAGAGTAATATTAATTTTAATTAAAAACATTGAAGCAATCTTTTTTACTGTAATTATTGAAATAAAATAAAAATCTTATTTATATATTTCATAATTCAATAAAAATGTATTGGCTATGTGATTTAAAGATCTCAGGATTACTTCTAAGTATAAAAAAAGGTATGCTCATGGGCAGTGTTTGTTACTGGGCTACAGTTTTACAATGTAAAAAGTTGGTGTATTCTTTATCCTACTTTTCTACATAAATTATCTGTCTAGCCTCACCAATTACTATTGCTCATCCCATTTTACTGGGTCATGTGATTTTAACACCTACATGAACATAGTGCTCATACAGACAAGCAGGCATACAATACAGATATAAGTAAAAATAAGTGCATAAACTTTAAAGGCATAGAGGATTACACTCCAAGTTATGAATGGAAATACATTTAGTCAAATGGTATCAGTGATGGCCTAGGCAAAGACTCCCCTGACCACATGACTATAGTATTGGGAATGCTAGAGGAATACTTTTAATTTTAACCCAGATTTGCATCAGAAAACCATCTAATTAATACAACATTTATTTAAACTCAGGATCTCTCCAATTTTTTTTTATCTTGTTTTCTCTTTCTCTGGATTTCATAGAACTATCAAAAGTCTTGTCTAGTGCTTTGCAAGGTTATAAACAGAAAAGCATGAAACCAGAGCAAGTTGGTATGGCTAACAAGGTTTTTTCCCCAACTTACTTAGCTGTGATAGCTTCAATTACTTGTTTTTGTTCTCTCCTACATGAAAAATTTTGGAACACATGTTTCTATAAGCATAAAGGGGGCTACAGAAATGGTTCAATGTTAAGGGCATGCACTGCTTTTACAGAGGACCCATGTTTGGTTCTTAGCACCCTCATGGGGTGGCACACAGCTGCCTATAACTTCAACTCCAGGGAATCTGACAACCTCTTCTGGTCTCTGCAGGCACTTGCACAGTCACAGACTTCCATACTGACATACATGCATATATTTACTTTAACATAAAATAAATCTTATAAAAATAAACCCCCTATGTCTTTCTTTGCTAACAAAAGAAAATGATATAAGAATTGCCCACATTTATTGACAAGTAAAGCTCTGAGGAATGAAAATTGATAAGAGAATCAAGAAAAGACTCAAATAGAAGACTAAAATTATTAAACAGAAAACAAGGGATGAATGGGGAGGAAATTCGAGACAACAGGTTTCTTATTGAGTAAACTATTCCATGCAGTGTCGAGCAGGAACCTGTAGAGGTAATTAAGTGGCTAAAAGCACTTCCTACTTTTGCAGAAGGCCCACACTAGGTAGATTACAACTGCCTGTAATTCCAGTTCCAGTTCCACGGAGCCCAGTGCTCTCTTCTGAACTCTTCGAGCATATAGACACACATGGTGCACGTACAGACAAGCAGGCAACCAATACAATCATAAGAAAAAAAACGCATAAACTTTAAAGGTTACAGTCCATGTTCCATCAAGATATGAAAGGAAGTGCACTTAGTTAAATGGTATCTGTTACGGGATTTCCCTCCTGGTTCTGTAACTGCCTTGCCCTAAATGAACACACAGATGTTATATTAATTATGAACCTGTTGGCCGGTAACTAGGGCTTCTTATTTGCTAGCTCTATTAATCTAAGTATTTCCACATGGTCTTATCTTACCAGAGAAGGGTCTGGACCTTTTACTCCTTTGAGGTCTCACATGACGTCTGCCTCTGCTTACACTTCCCAGAATTCTCCTCATCTGGTAGCCCTGCCTATCCTTCCTGCCTTGCCACTAGCCAAACAGTTCTTTATTCATCAACCTATAACATACATAGAAGGACCTTCCCCACCAGGTATGATTGACAGCTTAGGCAAAGACTGTTCTGGCCACATGACTGCAGTGTTGACAGTACTTGAGGTGTACTTTTAATTTTAACTATGACTCTCAAGATGATCCAAGCAAGTCCATTTCCTAAATGGTTTCTTTGCATCCAGTTTGAATTTCAACAATGAGAAGCCCACATGAATTGTTGCCTGAGCTGAGATGTGTCTGTGCCTTGATGTGATAGAGGAGGTCTTACCTACCTGGCTACGATCCGGCCAAGCTCTAGCAAACATAGACACACTTCTCGGGGCTGTTTGTGCAGAACTGGAAGACAAGACAGATGTATATCACTTTACAACAGAAAAGACTGTAAAATACATACGGATGACAAGCTTGCCAATGACTCTCCTGTGGTCCTCACACAGATGAGCTGCTTCTTATTCTGGCATTTTTAAGTCTCATTCCAAACCCTCTACTGAAGATGCTTTCTGAAACTCCACCTATACTGTGTCTCAAACCCCACTGGTCTAATGAACTCTCTCTATAAAAACATTGTCTTTAATTAGTTAATATGTAGATTCATATTGGATACGCATGTAGCAGTAAGAAAATTAAACACACCACACACAAAACTATGTAGCAAGGTTCCTGATTCTTACATCAAATTGAATTAATAAGGATAAAATTTATAAATGATTCTTTGTTCACCTCCAAATAACGGCAGATGTCAAATGGGTCCTCCAACTTGATGTTCTCTCCTAATCATAATTGATGGTTTAGAAAGAGACACACTTCCCTGACAAGATTCTTAATACATGTGAATATAAACGAGGTCCCATCAGCCAGCATTGGCCATCAAATGAGCCACTGAGAAGCCTTTCTTAAGCTGCTATTTCTGTATTATATGACAGTATTACATAGTGAAGCTGTTCTGTGAATGGATTTGGGCAGTTTAGTAATGCAGACAACACATACTTGCATTTCTGAGCCCACAAGAGGAGTGCAAGTTGCTTGTTCTATCCTCCTAACCAAGATTTGGACATTTAAAATGTTTATTCAATGTTTAACATTGAATAAGTGAGCAAATTGGGAGCATGAGGGGAGGGGAGAGGGAGCTAGGAGAATGAGAAGGGGAGAAGAGGAGGGGTGAGGAGGACATGAGGGGGCAGAAAGGTTGAGTTGGAGGAAGAATAGAGAAGAGCAAGATAAGAGATACCATAATACAGGGAGCCATTATAGGTTTAAAGAAAAATCAGGCTGTAGATCTACAAGGATGACACCAACTAACAATCTAAGCAACAGAGATGAGGCCACATTAAATGCCCTCCCCTGATAATGAGATTGATGATTGTAGGAGACCTGTATCCCTACAGATGACTGACTTATATGCCTCCCAACAGCCCTCATCCAGCAGCTGGTGGAAGTGGAAGAAGACACCCACACTAATCACTGAGCTGAACTGGAATCCAGTTGCAGAGAAGGAGGACTGATGAGCAAAGGGGTCAAGACCAGGCTGGTGAAACCCACAGAAACAGCTGACCTGAACAAGGGAAAACTCTTGGTTCCCAGACTGATAGCTGGGAAACCAGCATGGGACTGATCCAGACCCCATGAACATGGGTGTCAGTAAGGAGACCTTGGAAATCTATGGGACCTTTTGTAGTAAATCAGTACTTATCCCTAGCATAGGAATAGACTTTGGGAGCCCATTCCACATAGAGGGATACTCCCTGAGCCTATACACACACAGGGTTGAGCCTAGGCCCTATCCCAAAGGATATGACAGACTCTAAAGACCCCCTATGGAAGGCCTCATCCTCCCTGGGGAGCAGAAAGGGTATGGGATAGTTAGGTTGCTAGTTGGGGTGGGTGGGGGGAGACAGAGGGAACTGGGATTGACATGTAAAATAATCTTATTACTAATTTAAATAAAAATGGAGAGAAAAACAAGAAATAAAAGGATAAATACTGTAACAAAATTTTGCGTGGAGAAAAGCCTTCACAAAGTTATTCTAGTAAAACAATATAAATTGATAATAAAAATAGCAATCATGCTCTAATTCAAAAAGCTATAATTTTATAACAGTTCCAGTCCCACTATCTCTCTATTTACTTAACCTAAATATTTTAATTTGTTGTCTCCACTCATTATGTAATAGCAAAATATAGTCCAAAGATAACAACAGGATTTGTTTGGGGTAGATATGAATATTAAATATATTTGTATTTGGACTATTAAAATTTTTGATTTCATTTGGCTTAAATGGACATTCAAATTAAGTATTATTATTTGGTCATAAAATGTTGCTTTTAAATTTAAAACAAAACTCATCAGAAATGCTTACTAAGAACATAATTGATCATGGAAAATCTGAAACAAAAATATAGCCATTACTAATAAGCAAAGTTTAGATTTAGTTGACCAATGGAGAACTGTAACAAAACCTCACTAAGCCTTGAATAGTTTCTAATTAATTAAAGAGTCTTTAAATGCATATACAACTTACAGGTGCAAATGTGCCAGCTGTTTGTGGCTGGGATGACATGAAGTCTAATGTGTTAAATCAAGTTCAATGCAATTATTTGGGAAACGTGACATTACACCAAAAGCAATGTGTCAAACAGAACAATAATGACTATCACATAAATAGAAGCAAAATACTAAAATTAATCTATATCATCAATTTCTTCAGATTCTAACCTTTTAAATGTGGTACTAAAAATAACAAAATGAAGGTTTGACTGGGAGAAAGAAAAAAGGAAGACTTTTAGAGTCCTGCTGATTCCTTCGTCTTTAGTGAAAGCTGTGTGAAATAGGCAGCAAAAGTTCCAGGAGCTTTAGTTATGATATCATGCATGTCTGGATGAAAACCACATCAAAATACTAGTGGCCAGAGCCACTAAACTCTTTAAAAAGTAATACCTGACACAACTGTCATGAGTCTTGGCATTCTGATCACTTGGTGTGGAAACAGGAATATTAAACAGAAATGAAATTTGTTTTGAAGAAGACCAATGATGGGAGTAATATGAGAAATTTTATGTGAGCCCTCATGGGTATTATCTGTATTATATTGGGGAGCAATTCTAAAAGTTCGCACCTTCCTAAGCACAAGTAACACTGCCTATCTCATAAGATCTCTGTGGGGATTACATAAAATAACACAGTGCTGAACATAGTACTTAGCACACAGGAAACACTGGCCTGCAGGCAGCTCTCCTCTTCATTATTACATTTTTGGTAGTTATTAATGGTTTGCCTAGGAAGATTATCTTCATTTGTTTGAGCCAATCAACATTGATTCACTTTTGTTTATTCCTATGATCATTTTATTGCACCCCTGTGTGAACCAGTTATTATATTCTATGGTTAAAAAAATTCTAGAATAAAAAATACTCCTTTGGTTGGGAAATGCTAATTTAGAGAATCCTATGACAATGAGTATTATTAATTTTATGAGCTGATATACATATATTTTGGCTAGTACAAGCTTATGCCAGTTAAGTCAGTAATAATTACATTTATACAGAAGTCATGTTTAAGACCTAAACACCTTAACATTGGTTTTCTTAAGAATAAAACAGCTCAGCAGAGTCCATTTTCAGTAACTGATCATCTTAAAATATTAGGTGCATGCTGAGTGTTTTAGGAACAAATGAACTGTAAGTTTGTCTCTCAGACAGCCTAGCACGCTATGTGAATTGTGGGTCATTCCTTTGTTACCTGCACTCTCCATTTCAAACATATTTCCTCAGTTGCCTTTCAATAGAAACACCTACTGAAACTTGCAGTAGAAAGTATTTCCACCACTCTATCAAAGCAATAATCTGGGCCTTTCTTGGAGTTAGTGGTAGAAGCAGAATTTTCTCTTGCTTTCTTTCCCATAAAGGGATTCTTCTTAAAACATATAAAACAGCTCTCTTTTCTGGTAATTATTATATGAAATGGCTGTACCACCAGAGGCTTTTACAATATATTTAAAGCCTGAAGAAGGAAAAAAAAAAGTCTGACACTGAGCATCCCTAGGAAAGGCAGCCCAGACCACAACTCAGGATACATGTGAAACAGGAGTGGTGGTGCACACCTTTAATCCGAGCACTCAGGAAGCAGAAACAGGAACATCTCTGTAAATTGGAGGCCAGCCTAGTAGTCATCTACAGACCATCCAGGACTACGTAGCAGTGAGAGCCTTCCTCTCCACTCCCCCCCAAGAGAAAAAGCATGAGAGACTTTATTTTATAACCTAGATAGAATGTTATTCATCCCAGGAACAGAACCTACTTTTAAATGACACAGAATCTTCAAGAATGAAGTACAGGAGGCTATGTATGTATACTTTAGCTACCTATATTAAGCTTTAACAAATGAACAAAGAAAGAAAAGTACAATGAGTTTGATGTCCATTTGGTTTTTGTACAAGTAAAGGCTACAATTATTTAGGGCAACTTGCAGAGCAATGTTTAGTTTTTTTTTTTTTATTTAGGAAAAAAACTGGATCAAAATATTATTGGCATGTTGTTTTTAAATTAGAAATATATCATAATTATATGGCTAAATATAATCTTACAGTAGAGAACAAGTCCTAATAAATCAGAGGAGGTGGTAGAGAAAGAAATAAATCAAAAGTTAAAAAGACAGGCTCTCTACACAAGGCTGCTCAGGGTCCAATGAACAAGCTGTTGCTGTGTCTTCTACCTCTTCTTCCTTCTAAAAGAATCCCATGGTCCAGAATCAATGTTAGTGTCATTTCCTTGATAGTGAAATGGGGTCCAGAAGTCAACAGTACAGGTATCATGTGGCGGTTTTGGGAATACCCCACCCTTACTGATCACCATCTATTCTTCCTCACACTTCACAGGAGAGGAGTGACATGTCTGAAAACCAGTGTATTAGTCAACATTTTTATATCAATATAGCTTCTTTTATGGTGTCTTTATTTACTAAAAATGTGTAAGCGTGTGGTAGTTTTATGAATGAAGCATGCTCTAAATATGTGAAATACAAGTCATGGTGAGTACAATGACTTGGTGGATTTTGTAGGTATTTCTCTCTACTGTTGTTGTGGTCTATATAATCAATGGCTAAGGGCCAAGAAAGTAGAGCATCAGCCACAAATTGTTCCCTGTGTTATTATCCTGAGTATACTCACAGAGAAATCTAATTTGAATATAAGAGCTGTCAAGGGCAGCCATTTATGAGGCACAGAACAAATCTAAAAGGTTCAGTGCCTAGTACTAAAAACTAACACAATGGGTCTGCAGCTAAGAAGGGCTCTCACTGGTCACTGATGCTAGGTGTGATGGCTATCACTAATTTTTAATCC